CAGCAGGATAGCTGGAGCCCAGCAGGCGAGGCTGTGGTGGCCGGGAGCGGCCACTGCACTCCAGTCTGGGCGACCAGGTGCACTCCAACTAAAAAAAAAAAAAGATTCCTGATCTCAAACCAGGCTAAGTGGGTACCAAAGGTAGGCCCAAACTTTACCTGTACAATGACCACTTGTATACCTAATCCTGAATTGTACCCCACATCTTTAAAATAAAATACAGTTTTTTAAAACATTTAAAAAATCCTTAACTGTTCCCAATAGGGCCGGACACAGTGGCTCAGCCTGTAATCCCAGCACTTTGGGAGGCCAAGGCGAGAGGATTGCCTGAGTCTGGGGTTTCAAGACCAGCCTGGGCAACTTGGCGAGACCTGGTCTCTACAATAAAATCACAAAAAAAGCTAGCCAGGTGTGGTAGCACGTGCCTGTAGTTCCCATTACTTGGAAGACTGAGGTGGAAGGATCGCCAGAGCCCAGCAGGTCAACGCTGGGGTGAGAGAGCCAATGCACTCCAGCTTGGGCCACAAGAGTGAGACTCCAACTACACACAAAAAAAGAGTTCCTGCCCAGGCTTGGTGCCTCAGCCTGCAATCCTTGCGCTTTCAGAGGTCAAGGTGGGTGAATTGCCTGAGCCTGCAGGCTCGAGACCAGCCCAGGCAACTTGGTGAGACCTCATCTCTACAATAAATTAAAAAAAAATTAGCTGGGTAACGCGTGCCAGGGTTCTGGCTACTTGGAAGACTGAGGCAGAAGGATTGTCTAAGCCCAGCAGGTTGAGACTGCAGTGGTTGGGAGCGTGCCAATGCACTTCAGTCTAGGTGACCCAAAAGGAGACTCCAACTGAAAAAAAAAAGTTCCTAATATATAATAAGCAAATGGTAGTCATTATAAAAGAATCATATCTAACAATGAAATTGTATTCTAGAATAAATGTCAAGTGAACTTGAATCCCCTAAATCAAATCACCCAGAAAGTACAGTACATGTACAAGCTGTTCCTTAATAAGTCCAAACCAGTCAATATTTCCACTAACATTGGCTCAGGCAAGTGTGCTTTAAGCACCTAATAAAATAATTGGCTTGCTTTAAGCATCACATCATTTGAAAACTCTGTACTTTAAATCTTCTAATCACTCAGTGTACAGAAGGACTCCCACTTTAAGAGATTTGAGAGAACTGAAACGAATCATAGGAATGGCAGATCCATGATTCTACTTCACACTTGATCTAGGGAATTGGAGTCATTTTCTTTTGTTCCTTCCACCTTTTCTTCCCTTCTTTTCCTTTTCTCTCTCCCTGCCATCATTGTATTGTTAAATTCCTGTTAGATAAGTGAGTCCGTAGCTATGAGTCCAAGTGTCTCTCTTTAGTGTAAATTTCTCAGCAGATATTGGAAAATACATGGGTGGAACTTGGAAGAGAAATCAGAACTGCAGATTTAGATTTGTTATTAAAACATGGGAGTGAAATGTAATTGCTGAAGAGGGGACAGTGGAGACACAAGATCCCAAATCAAATTAAGGATAATGTCTATACTTCCAGGATAGAGAGAAGTAGCGGAAACAGAAGGTATCATCAGACAAGTAAACAGTGAGTAGAGCTATGGAAGACAAAGGACAAACTTTCAGAAACTTGGGGAAGTCAGATAGTTGAAAGGTCTGAGGAAAACCCACTCAGTGAGGTCCTTCTTGACAAAGCAGTGGCATTAGTGTGAAAGTAGCAATCACCAGACTGTAAGTGGCTAAGGAGAGAGAATAAGGAAGTATGTGGACAGAAAAATACTGATAGTGCCTCAAGTATAAGTTGCATTTTGAGGGTATACAGCACTTCTAATTCCATAACAGTTTATATACGTATACACATAAACATAAAGTAAAAGTATACTTAAATATAACCTATAAAAACTGTAAGTTCTGTCCTGTTGGGTTTCACGGGCACAGCTAAAGCAGTTGTCAACAGCTGACTTCTATTCCAGGCTGATGAAAATGAATTACCTGGTGTTAAGTAGCTTCAGTATCGCCGCTACATAGGTATAGTTATGTGCTATACCTTATGATTATTTCCTTGCAAATTTAAAAGAGGGAAGAGAGTAGAGTCATGTAAACTAAGTGGGAGAATAAAGTGATCAAAAACATTAAGTGCTACTGAAATATGCACTAGTAAAAGCAGGATAGAAAGACTTTGAATTAGATTTCCACTGGAAGAACGAGCACAAATGAGCATACTGTGTATTTATTTAATTATTTGTTTGTTTGTTTATTTATTTTGAGTTGGAGTCTCACTCCATTGCCCAGGCTGGAGTGCAGTGGCACACTCACAGCCACCCCGGCGTCGACTGTTGGATCCCGGCAATCCTTCTGCCTCAGCCTTCCAAGGAGTCAGAACCATAGGCATGTGCTACCATGCCTGGCTCATTTTTTAAATTATTGCAGAGATGAGGTCTTGCCAAATTGCCCAGGCTGGTCTCGAACCCGCGGACTCAGGCAATCCTCTCGCCTCGGCCTCCCAAAGTGCTGGGATTACAGGCTGAGCCACCAAGCCTGGCCAGTGTCTGCCTATTTTAAGCCTGCATACTTAAAAATAAGTAAATCCCTGTGTTAGGAATTATTAAAACACACTTATCTAATTAAACAAATGTTTATACTTTCTTACTTTGTTAAAATTTAATCTGAAAATTAGCAATAGTGTATGAATATAAACAAATTAATAATGACATAGAAACTCATGCTTCTAAATTATTGAACTAATTTTTTAATTTATATTTATTTATTTATTTAATTTTTTGGTGGGAGTCTCACTCTGTCGCCCAGACTGGAGTGCAGTGGCCGCTCCCGGCCACTGCAGCCTCTACCTGCTGGGCTCCGGCGATCCTTCCGCCTCAGCCTTCCAAGTAGCCGGAATTACAGGCATGCGCTACCACACCTGGCTGATTTTTTGCTTTATTGTAGAGGTGATGTCTCGCCAAGTTGCGCAGGCGAGTCTCGAACCCGCGGGCTCAGGCAATCTACTCACCTCGGCCTCTCAAAGCACTGGGATTACAGGCTGAGCCACCAAGCCTGGCCTGAACTAATTTTTATATTGTAAAAACTTTGTCAAAGTCCAATGGCCAAGAAATATCTGAAAACTCAACTATAATAATACTTAGCGTAACAAAATTTAAACAGACATAAAACACGATTTCACACTCATGGTTGTCAAAGATGTGGGAAGTGGGCATTATCTTCCATTGCTTGTGGAACTGTAAACTGGTATGAACACTTTGAAGAGAGCAAGGCTTAATAGCTGATAAAGTTAAAATTGAACGTACTGATGAACCAACAATTTTATTTACATATCTTAGAAACTAATGCTCCTGAACACAGGAGGCATATGCCAAGTTATTTATCATAGTATTATTTATAATAGCTAAAGTCTTATCAATATGAAATGAAAAAATAGATATTGCTACCTTTAGATAAGAGACTATCACAAACAGCTAAAATCAAGTGACTTAACTAGATATAGATATACTATTATGAATAGATTACAAATTTAATACTAACTGGAAAAAATTGGAGAATACCCCTTATAATATTACTTATAGGGCAACCTCTTCAGTCCCCTCCCACTGTGGGAGCTTTTCTGTTTTCTCAGTAAATCCTAATTTCTCACAAAAAAATATTACTTATATAAATTTGAAAACTCACCAATACTATATATTGGATTTTGATGTACAGTAAACATCTGAAAAAATAATAGGACTGGATTCATCTTGACTCATAATAATGTTTAGTTCTGAGCAGAGGCACATTGAGGACATAATTTCATCTACAATATTTTATTTATTTAAAAAACTTGAATCTGAAGTAAATATAAAAACAGTTTGGCTGGGCATGGTGGCTCATACCTGTAATCCCAGCACTTTGAGAGGCCGAGGCAGGAGGATTGCCTTAGCTTGGGAGTTTGAGACCCGCCTGGGCAACAGAGTGAAACATTGTCTCTGCAAAAAATAAAAATTAAGAAAATTATCAAGGTGTGGTGGCACATGCCTGTAGTCTCAGATACTAATGAGGCTGAGGCTGAAGGACTGCTTGAGCCCAGGAGGTTGAGGCTATAGCCAGTCAGAATCGTGCCACTGTACTCCGGTCTGGGCAAGAGAGTGAGATCATGTCTCAAAAATAAATAAATAAAAATAAAATAAAAACAACTAAATTATATGACTGTGATGATCTATGTTAGTTATAGTACATTTTGTACTTTTTTTATTTTAGTAAACAAAATGTAACTGTATCAAGTTAAGATTTAAGGCAATAAAAATCACAGGAAAAAAGATAAGTTCTACATGATAAAAAATAATTTCTGTTCATGGAAAAATCATGCCCTGTGAAAAATAGACTTGTGTTTTTCTTTTTTTTTAGGAAGGTAAACCAGAAGCGCTTTGGGTTGAAGAAAGATTTAAAGCCCACAATGCCCGAGTCCGTGATGTCGAACTCCTAACAGGGCTTGACTTTTATCAGGAAAAGGTACAGCCTGTCTCTGAAATTTTGCAGCTAAAGACGTTTCTCCCCACATTTGAAACCGTCATTTAATGTAATAATGTATAATTTACTGTATAAAACAATTTTGGCAAAATGTAAATGATTTTTTCTGGAGAATTATAAAATAAAGTTTTCTATTTTCCTTATGTCCACTAAAAGCCATAATTCATTGTTCCTTTTTCTTGTTTTTATTTCTGTTAATAAGCATTGTTTTAAAATTATATTTTTCCACAGATTGTGCCATTTTATACCTTCCTTATTTTTTTTCTTTTTCTTTTTGTAAACTCTAATTCCACAGATTAAACCTTCTTTATTATATTTATTATCCCACTTATAATCATTGGCTATATTTTTCTGCTCCGAATTGTCCAAACAAAGGGAGAATAAGAGAAGTAGATCCCCCTTGGGAATTGAATCAGTATTCCACAATTTTGTCTTTTAAAAGTTTATACTTGATAATTAGGCAATATTTTATTAAAATAAAAATGCTCATAATTTTTATTCCATAATTTCACCTGTAAAAACTGTCCCAACAGATGTCCTTTGCACAAATGCATGAAAATATCATGTTTTATGGTGGCCATGACCAGCAAACCACCTAAAAGACTAGTTAAACAAATTATGAAGTTTGTTTAAACAGTTAATGGAATACTGCTCTGCCTCTATAAAGAAAGAAGTAGATCTGTGGTCTTGAAGGTATCACGACTGTTAAGTGAAAAAGCACGTGTATGTAGCATGCTGTGATTTTTCAAGGATTGGTAAATTTTCTAGAAGGGACCAGATGGTACATGTTTTAGGTCATACAGTTTCTGTTACAATTACTTTCTCTGCTGTTGCACCAAGATAGCAGTCCTAAATAATATGGGAAAGAAATAAGAATGACTGTGTTCTAATAAAACTTTATTGGCAAAACAAATAGATGACTGGATTTGGTCTCTGGCCTGTAGTTTGTCAGTCCCTGATTTATATATTAAAGTCTGGGTGGGGGTAGGCAGGACCTCATAGAAAGAGAAAAGAAGGTAACATTTTTATTTTATGCTCTTTGTCCTAACTAAAGACTTCTTTAAAACGTCTCTATATGTATTTCTTTAATTTTTCAAAATATAGTTATGAACCAAAGAGATCCTAGTACTTATTTGAGGCAATGCGGTTGGTCATATTTTTGAATTGCCAGACTGGCAGTGTTCCAGATTCTTCTCTGACATAAGGATGAGTTCATCCAGGGACAGAAGCTTTGCTGTTGTTGAAAAATCTTGTGACCTGAGCTTTAAGGAAACAAATACAATTCCTTTCTATTGTTATTAGGATTTCAGCTGAGTTATGGTCATTAGTTACAACTAATTGAAATGTTTGTTTATTTCCACTGGGTTTTATTTTTACATATGCTCTTCATTTTGTAGAATTTCTTTTAAAATTTATGCCGTGAAAAATGTGCAATACAGAGAGACTGAAAGATAAGACTATCTCCAGGTGTTTGGCAAAAATGCCACCATTTGTTATGTAGATACAATTTTTCCAACAATGTTCTTCTGCCCAACCATGACCTGTAAATAAGGTAGGATCATCTGGAATTTAGACTCCACAATGGGGGAAACATGGTGGTTACAACTCTGATCTGAGCTTAATCACCTTCAACATTCTTATTACTTCTGAGTTTCTCCGTAAGTGGCTAGATTGTTGAATGCTTGATGCAAACATAAAAAGGTCAGTCTGAAAAATTAAAGTTACGTTTTGTGTGATATTATACTTTCCTTTTGTACAATCATTATTCCATTAAAAATATACATATGTATAAACCATTCTGAAGGAATGAATACCAATAATTTTTTTTTATTTTTTATTTTAAAGATGTGGGGTACAATTCAGAGTTAGGTACACAAATGTTCATTACGCAGGTATCCTTGTTGATGAGGTGTGTTCCCCCTCCTCCGAGAGATTCCCACTACTGCCAATCCTTTTCTTACAGTATTATGATAATTGTTCAAGGTCCGCTTATGAGTGAGAACACATGATACTCAGTTCTTTGTTTCTGTGATAAATCACTCAATATTACAGACTCTAAGTCCATCCAAGTTGCTATCAAGTTCATAATTTTGTCCTTCTTTACCAATTAATTAATGAGTCAAAAAGCTATAGGGGATTTGCAATTTCTACTTTATAATTTTCAGTGTGTAGCCTCTGTTTTACAATGAGCTTGTTTTCTTTTAAAAATCTAAAAATGTAAATAATAGTCAATTACATTTGAAAGTATTCTTTTAAAAGAATTTTATAGATACTGAAAAGATGCAAGAATAGTACAAATAATTCTTTATAACTTTTATTCTTTGTTACCAGTTGTTAACATTCTATGTATATTTACATATATCTTTAGATTTTTCCCGAACTTTCTGAAAGTACATTGTCGTCATCTTGCTTGATTACCCTCAATACTTCAGTGTGGATTTGCTAAAGATCAAGGACATTAACTCACCCACATAGTCAGGAAGTTTAATGTTGATTTGATACTAGACCTAATCTAATCTGCAGACAGACCTATCAAGTTTTTTCTCATGTTTTCAATAATGTCCTTTATGAATTTTCTTTTTTGTCCAGAATCTGAAAGAGAATTATTCATTGAATTCAGTTAATTTTTTTTCTCTATGACCTCTTGTAATGAGCAATGATTCCTCAGCCTTTATCAAATAATGTTGCTACTTTTGAAGAGTCCTTGTCATTTATTGTGTAGACTATCCCTCAGTTGGATTTGTTTGACATAATGCATCTTTGGCAGAAACACTACATTGGTCTTCAGCACTTCAGATTTAGAAGCACATGATGTTCATTTGTGCCATTATTCTTGATGCCAGATTTGATCACTTGGTGAAGTTGATGTTCTCCAGGCTTCTCTTCTGTAAAGATAGTCTTTTTTCCCTTTGTAATTTACACGTTATTCTTAGTAGGACACTTGAGACCCTATACATGTCCTGTTTCTCATCAGATTCTCACCCAATGGCTTTAGTATTCACTAATAATCCTTCCCTGATTCAATTTCTACTTTGGCAGTTGCGAAAGGGGTGATTTTTAAAAACTCCATTATTTTACATTTATTAGCATTCTACTATAAGGATGTGTTATCTTTCTTATTTATTATTTGTTTATCCATATAGACTCATGAATTCTCTTTTTATTCTAATTGACTAAAATACAATCATTATTTATTTTAGCACTAAAATTGTCCTGGATGAGGCCAGCAGGAGCTCCTTTCAGTGGGTTCCTATGTCCCTTCAATCTGCCCCCATTAATTTTTGAGTACTTTCTCATGTACTGGTACAAAAAAAGTTCATCTTGTACTTTCCTTGCACTAACTGTGGAATCAGCTATTTCTTCAAAAAGCCCTGGTTTCATTTAGTGGGCACTGGTGCCCTAATTGCTTCTGTGGCATCATAACACCTAAGCCCTTTCAATCAACAAAAGTAAAATCTGTCGACATTTCTTTGCCCATGTCTATCTCTATCTCTGTTCATGCTTAAAACCACATGAGTAAGAAACCAGGGGTTCACCATCCAACACTACAAGGTTTTTGTCCAATTTTTTTCCCTTTTCATAATTGTAATCAGCCTTCTCCAATAGTGAGACATTTGGTTCTCACCCAATACACAGAAATAGGAATTGCTAACCAATACCACTTGGAGAAACAAATCTACTAAGTAGAATGAAAGAAATGCTTCCAGTTCTTCATGTCTCTAGACTAAGAATTTACAGCCAGAATACTGTTTCAAAATTCCTCGGACTTGTTTTCTCCTTCCTTAGTGTAGTTACATTATTCATTTGAAATATAATACTGTTTGTTTTTTCTATTTATATTCCCTTACGGGGTTTCCCCATCCTTATGGAGTCGTTTTTTTTTAGTATATAAAATATTAACATAGTCCCCAAAACCAAAATTAGATGAAAAGGGACATGTAGAAGTTTCCTCTCTCCCCCATCTTTTAGTCTTTTTCCATCTGCCCAGTCCAATGTCATTTGTTTCTGGTTTATCATTCCTGTATTTATTTTTGCAATAATAAGGATATGGATATATTTTTCTCTTTTACTCAAAAGAGACATATTGTACATTCCTTTTTCACCTTTTAAAAAACTTGGCAGCCGGGCTTGGTGGCTCAGCCTGTAATCCCAGCGCTTTGGGAGGCTGAGGTGAGTGGATTGCCTGAGCCCGTGGGTTTGAGATCCGCCTGGGCAACTTGGCGAGACCTCATCTCTACAATAAATCAAAAAATCAGCCGGGCGTGGTAGCGTGCGCCTGTAGTTCCAGCTACTCGGAAGGCTGAGGCGGAAGGATCGCCGGAGCCCAGCAGGTCGAGGCTGCGGTGGCCAGGAGCGGCCACTGCACTCCAGTCTGGGCGACAGAGTGAGACCCCAACTCAAAAAAAAAAAAAAAAAAAAACTTGGCAAAGTATCCTGGAAATCACCCCATGTATTTAGATCTTCCTCATCCTATTTTGTTGCTGCATGGCATTTCATTATGTAGATGGACCATAGTTAATTAAATCTATCTCCCATATAAAGACCTTTGGGTTATTTCCAACATTTCGCAATTATAAATTTACAGCAATGAACAGTGTTATACATATGAAGTTTTGTGTTATTGGAAGTATATCTTCTGGACAAATTCCTAGAAGTGAGTAAACATATACTGTAGCTTCATTTTTTTTAAAGTAATATATTGCCACAATTTTAACTCATAAATTGGTGTATTCAAAATATGAACTCTCATGCCTGTAATCCCAGCACTTTGGGAGGCGGAGGCTAGAGGATCACCAGAACCCTCGGGTTCAAGACCATCGTTAGTAGTATGGTGAGACCTCATCTTTACAATAAATCAGAAAATTAGCCGAGTGTGGTGGCATGCACCTGTAGTTCCAGCTACTTGGAAGGTTGAGGTGGAAGGATCACCTGAACCCAGCAGGTGGAGGCTGCAGTGGCTGTGAGCATGCCACTGCACTCCAGCCTGGGCAACAGAGTGAGACTCCAATTTAAAAGAAAAAGAAAAAAAAAAAACACATGAATTCACTGGATATAGTTCTCCCCCACCAAAAGTGGAAAGAATTTATTTTTTCTTAATTATAAAAATAGCACATATTCATGGTAAGAAATCCAAACTACGTATATGTATTATGTAATATATTAATATATCTATATATACAAATATTAAAATCCCACAAATCCAATCAACTGATGATTACGACAGTTACATCCTATTAACCTATGACTCCTTGACATATCTATTCTTTGAAATGTAATGTTTGAATATGGGATTTGGGGAAATGACCATTCATGTTACTCTGGTTCAGAGTTAAATGTTTTTTTCACAAAGGAACTTCAAAATTTTCAGGAAAAGACTTCGGTTTTGGGGATTTAGAAAATTTATTCCAGCAGAAAGTAGAACTTATTGGAGTAAAAGGAAATGACTGTTTGACATTTCAATAAATGCTTTGTTTTTTTTTTACAAA